GTTTACAAATGGAGGGACGGAGTCGATCAAGACTGTAGAGACGGATCGGATTGGTGGAAATGCGACATCAGATCAATCATAACTCTCCAACAAAGAGAACTATGGATGCTGGTTAATAACTGCCCGTTACCCATCACGTAACATCAAGCTTTAAATGATTGCACTCAATCTACAAGTAATTCTTGCTTTAAAGATCTTGGCCTTTTACTGCTGTTTTGGACCAAACCTCAAAAACCATCAAATTTTCACCGACGAAATAAAATACTCGGAGTTCAAAATTTAATAAACGTTTAAAAGTATTCGCTTTTTTGCCGGTGAGCAAAGCAGATTTTGTGATTCGGTGTGCGTTCGTATTACAATTGGAATTAATTTGAAAAGGGACCACTTAAGATGTTTACCGGCTGAAACATGTGATAGCTGATCAAATGAGATACCGTAAAAACTCTATGAACAAACAAACCTGCGGGCAACGTAGCATGCATCGTCGTCCTCGATGCTGTCGTTTGCAGACTTGGAGGACCGATCAGGAGCGACCACGTGTCCAAGGACGTAGAGACCACCCTTCTTGACAGAGTTAACAAATTGGACCAGTACCGCAGCGGAGCGCGGATTCGCAAGAAGAAAGAGGATTTGAGGACGCCAGTACTTTACGTGTTCCTTCGAAGCATCCAAGAGGAGAAGATACTTTCGAACCTACGATAGGGATGCAACTCAGAAGCAGGCAACAGCCCGTCAGCACATGCACTAGTTTCAAGGTAAAGAGAAGTTTGTCGGAATTGGAAAAAAATGAAGGCTGAATAATATTTGGTTCTGTGTCTAACAACTCGCAGGAAATCTCTCATGTCAAAAGCGAAAAAGGCTAAAGATTGTCTAAAGGCGACCAATCGTTCAAATTGGTAATTACCCAATCTCCATTGGTGAGCTTCATACAAAATAGGTCCTTCCAGCGTGAGATACCAAGGCATACACGCAAGTCCTCGTTGACAATGGTAAATTGGCATGGAGAATGGAAAATTTTTTATATCTTCCGCAATATTCTGCGGGGTAAGTTTCCCACCTAACTGAACTCATTTCAATGCCCCTAAAAGGGAACTTTCGAGCTTGCAGTCGATGGCCAATTCACCATAAAGTACAGATATTGCAGTAAGTCCAGAGAAGAAAGGCTAATTACACAGTAACGTTCTAGCAGTTAAAATCTTAGCGAAAAAGATCACCATAACATATAACACAGTTTAAATAAATCAGCTGAAATTGACGAGCTGATCCAAGGGCATTCAATTAAAGCCCATTACTAAACAAACGGTGGGAGTGTTTACAGAAGCTACACGGAGGAAATTAGGGACTGTTTACATATGTGCCGCTCAGACCCATTTGTTGACCAGGGCCATAACTCACCTAAATAATTAAATGCGTTAGGTATTAGCTAGCTAAATTAGGATAGGCATATTATAGCCAACTACGATGGAACCGCTGTGGCACGGTACAATAGGGAGGGTGTTCAGTAATGCAACTGTTGGGCGTTTGTAAGGGCTCAAAATCAAAGATCAAAACACCAGAATGGTTTAACTTGGAACATTTGCTACAATTTCTCAACCAGGAGGTTATATAATAGCCGAAGAATGACGACGTGAGTTTGCAGCGGACTATACGCCGATCCCTGTTTGTCAGTGAGCAGATGCGGTCAAGTTAATGAGACCGTTAAGCCCAAAATTTGGTCCTCAAGATACTTGGACAGACTAGGCCGCGAATATAATGACCAGTGGTTGAAAAATTAAGGATTCACTGAACGGTTTGGGATAGCTTCTCTTAAGATTGAACTGAAGATTGCACTTAGGATTGTATTCGCACCCTGTCAGCAAGTAGTAGAGATCTCCACTTGAACTACCATCCCACAGTACAAAATAGAAAAGAATGAACTCAAGCTACAACTGCAACAATGGCTTGTTTGTATACATTTCGACTATTTGAAAGCCACTCTATGGATAAGGCTCATGCTGCCCAAAAAAATTCTGAAAAGCAGCGCAGGATAATATCTCAGATTGTTGTGAGGTAATGAAGTAAAAATTTTTTTAAATGTCGATATAAGAAAGCCTTGGAGGCGTCGGCTCCGTTTTAAGTACCATGGTTCATGTCGGTGAGTCATGCCACCTTTCCCTGTTTTATTCGTCCTGGTCTCAAAGGAGCGAGGTTTGCTTTACTTCATCTCCCACCTTCACTGAGTAACTTATCAACCTTGCTGCCCCGGAACGAAACAGCTCTGAGAGTGTAAGGCTTCTGTGTTTAATAGGAAGCACGATCTGGCTTATCAGCAGAGACAAGAAAATCGTACCTATCCAGTAGAAAGGCACACTACGCAAACCGAAACCGAACCAAAACCAAAACCGCAAACAGAATCGAACCAAAACATAATATAATCAAAAGTTGACTACGATAAAAAAGTTTGGAAGGAATTCAAAACAAACCTAGACTTTTAGCACACCCTAGGAGGCAGTTAATAAGTAGGAGCAGCGAGCCAAGTCGAAACGAATGGAAGAAAAATTCATCAAGTAAAGACATAAAAAAAATTCCAAAACATGATCAGGTTATTTAGCATGCGAACATCCAATGATTTTTTTGTAAAGCCCGGCGTGCATCTTAAGAAGAACTACATCACGATACTTTGCTATAAAAGGCTTAAAGATGACAATACACGCGAAAATGACAGCTGAGGAGTATTCAGTCTTCAATCCAACACCCGATTTCACAAACCTGATGGAATATTAGAGCTTGGCCGATATCGCCCCATGAAACAGTCATGTGGCGACGGTGGAGAAAGATAACCAAAACACCAAGAAGAATGATTGCCCCAAGGGTGTAGAAAGGTTGGATCAAAATGCACATAACCAGACACCCCAGCATTCCCAACAGAGCGGTCATCCAGTGGAAAGACTTGAAGGTAGGTCTGAAAAATAACAAAATAATACTACTGAAAGGCATCTAAGTAAAATTGAACAAACCGAATGAGGGGCACTAACATTCTTTTTCATAAAATCGTACAAAGTAGTAATACCTACTCCACCTTAGTGACTAGTACCCACCAATAATTATTCTTGGGCTCTACAGTACAAACATCAGGACCTACAAGAACTGCAAAGGGATCTGATTCCATTCCTAGTAGACTGATCCAACATCCAACCAGCTCAAAAACAGTCTGGTCATGAAAAGAAGATTTGCAAAATAATAACTGAAGGCAAAAGAGGATGGTTCCAAAGTTATAAGCTACAACGCAAGTCACATTCACACTGTAGCTTTCGATAGCAAGACACCATGATGATAAACGTCTAGGTTGCCTGCATAACTATGCCGTTTCTCTAGTCGTGTCAATCCTAGCAATGCCATGACATACACTCCGTTCTAATACCAAAGAGACATGGTATTGGCACAAGGATATCAACGACAAATACTGATCAAACAGAAGATTGGGTCTCATCAGAAGTAACAACCAAACAACAAAATCAAAGGATATTTCGAAAGATTAGAAGAGATGGATGGCATGCTCAACACCTTTGTGTTGTAAACACATAGGAAAAAGGAGGCAACTACTTCAGCCCAAGTCAGATTGCTAACTGTCCTCTTTCACTCAATGATGTCAAGAAGTTTAGCTATGTGAAGACAAATGCCAAAGAATTATACTATTTTGAATGCGTTTACATCATGCGATCGCCATACCGAATGCAGACGCAGCAAACACTCACATAAATCGTGTATTACAACTGTCGATGGCTAGAAATTCATGAATTATGCAATTTTCAGTGTTCTGAATCAAACTGTTGTGATCCCCTAAACCCAAGCATCGTAATCATTTCTTAAGAACAATTCATGAGGACCACGAAGTGGGGTTAATGTGCCTTGCAACTAGGCAGTAACTTCAAGAAATGAAGCGCAAACTTAGTGCAGTGGCCAGTAAGGAGATTGATTAGTGCACATGCAGTTACTTGGTCAATGCACACTACAAGTGAGATCTACGAAACCTCAAGTCACCCTTGACAATACACACACGAAACGAAAAAAAATTAGATAATAAATGTTCTAAATGAAGTCCATATATCACTAATGTTGAATACTGCAGATCTTAGGAGACATTAAGAAAAACCAATAATGCGGTTGTTGAGCCATTTCAAAAAAGTTCCATCATGGTTACTATGGCGTTGGACTTTCAAGAAAACAATCCAGATCCAACGTAAACAAACAATGGATAGATTTGTCAATAAAAGCAGTCCAAAAAACAAATTCCTCAGGGTAAGGTAACGAATTCGTCTGTGTTCAAACATCTCAGTGACATTAGCCATGAAACCGTCAGGACATCCAGCCGAATGATTGTAAAGACTAATGTGCCCTTCAAACCTTCAGACGGAATGACATTAACAAGCTTGTGGGTAGAAGGATGACATGGATAAATCAATGAAAATCATTTGCTTGTCAAGATCACATCTTACGACAGTATCACAGAGACCGTTTCGCTACTTACAGGAACTAAGTATAGTGACCAATATTCCACTGACATTACCAACCAGAAGTTGCGTCAAGTGAAAAAATGGGACTAGACCAACTTATAAACAGTTAACAGCTCCATTAACCCCGTTGAAATGCTGTCATGCTGGCTTCATGCATCAGAACAAACGCATGCAATTTCATGCTCCTACAGTCACCCAAAATTCACAGTCCTATTCTCTTTGAACTTCAATTTCTTTAAATATTAAAGAAAATAGTCGAATCTTTTCAGAACTAGGTGATTATGGGCTTTTTAAACGCTAATAAACTAGACACTAAAGTCGGCTCACCGAAAATTAGCCGGCGATGCAGTATCCAATAGAGCACAGGCAAGGTTGACCGAGGCATAGGCGAGAAGGAAGAAAATTGACACAGCTGGGGCAATTGCGTTCATATTACCGATGAAGAAAACGATCTGCAAAAGAGGCCAGGCGGAAGAACTAATGAAGAGAATTAACGTAAGCGTTTGAACAAGTAAAAAGTAATGCATATCTGATGCTTCTTAGGCAGGAAACAGAAGATTCAAACGGTAGAGGCCTATAAAAAGGCAAATATTTAGTCTCTTCCTACAATGCTGTCAAATTCTGAGATAAAATGCAGAAGCGCGTACGGACCATTTGTTAGACGAATTTAATTGCAACTAATTATTTAGTAGTGGGTAAAATAAACAGTAAATCCACAGAGCCAAGCGGAGGTCTACTGTAACACAATAGTGGGCATCAAAGCCCAACACTTTAGGATGAACAAATTTTCACAATTTTTGATTATACATATTTGACGTGGTTTCTACCAAAGACGCAAAAAATAACCATATCCTAGGGCACTTAAACAAAGACGAGAAAATGAGCAATCACACATAGCGCCCTGCACAAGAAACGCGAGGGTTTAAGCATAGAAACATAGCCTCTACGTTCCAAAGTGTCATGACTGATCGGTCAAAATAATAAATCTCCTCGCACAATGCTTGCGAATATTCGACTCAGTTCAGTTTGACCTGCTCATTAGCCAAACTGCTTTACTGTGGAGAATGAAGTCGTCAGAAAATGATACCTAAAAAATAAGCTTCCTTCTGTCGCTTACACTCATGCCTCCAGTTGGTGAAATGGAAATTTGGTCATGTTATCAGTCTGCTAATCCATCTGCAAATGCCATAAGTTCATACCTTCGCGTTGTTATCATTTCAAAGCAACGAAAGTATAACTTGACTAAATCTCAGGTTTAACTTAAAAGCCTCTTTAGTGGTAAAACTATGATTGCATGAGAAGCAAAAAAAAAGCAGAATAGAGAAGGCTATTATGACTTCCAATGCACTAACACACCTGAACACACAGATGAGTGAAAAGCACAGCCACAAGAGGATTTCCGCCCGAAGTAGTATATTTCATTGGGTTGAGAAGAACGCCTATGGCGAAAAAGAAAAATATCGTCCAACACTAATCAAACTGGACAGATGAAAGAAAATACGACGATGATCCAGAACATTCATGACTCCATTAACAACTGACGACTGCACATATTGGCCCGAATACTGACTTAGAAATCCATTGACGAGACATTAATATCATGCCTCGCCTTTTGATCGCGCGGAGATATGGAAGTATTTTAACTACTTTAACATCGGCCCTTGCATTTCTCACTTTTATTTTCATAACCTGATTGAAAAGTCACCACACCTAACGAGGTTGTTTCGTACTGATTTAAGACAACATTTGCGGCCAACGATTAGTTGGAATCCAGCTAACCGCAAATTTGGTGCATCACCATTCGATGCAGCATTATGGTTGAAAAACAATTCCATGCCTACCTGAATGACGCAAGTCAAAGTAAACACAAGCCAAGCCACAGTTAGAGGCATATATTGGGTCTGTATTCAACTACCCACAGTGATTCCAAACTAAGATTCGCAACATGAATAATCGTTCGTTTAACTAAAGGGATAGGCAGCTGTAAAGCGGTTTTTCGTGACTCAAAATGCAAATGGTATTTCAAGTCTTTGTTTCTCCACACTTTAAAAACAAACATATGCATGCATCCTTCACGTTAATTCAAGTAATAAACCTGTCGTAAGAAATGTTCAACATTAACTTTCACAACATCACGATTCGTGGCAGCGCCTTGCGCAATTCGCAGTCAATCCAAAGCGGTAGTACGACTAAAAAAGTGACAACTTCAGTCTACTATTGCGCAACATGACCGAACTAAAAAGGTTAGAATATTATTCCAATTTGCCAATCGTATTGTTGTAAGAAACTAGGACAATAATCACTGCAGATTACTTGGATAAAATTCAAAATCCTTCGAACATTGACCCTAAATTTGAAAGAGTTAATAATGCTTAGCATAACTGATTAGTTAGATGCGCACAATAAATAGTTGTATTAAGCTTCCATTCGGATTCCTATGCACTTTCCATCTTTCGAAAGTGAAGTAAGGAGTTTAATTAAATACATTCATACTTTAAGAACATTGAGTAAGCGAATCGCCAGGTCGAGAAAATGATATGAAGACTGGAGAAACCAAATACTCCCATTGATTGATCCTATTAATCCTAACAAGGAGTAAATCCAGTCACATGCTTCATCTCAATAGTTTCCCTAGCCTATGAGGTTATAATAAAGTAACGTGCGGATCCGCAAACCTTGCAATGCTTACCAAGGCAATATAGACCCAACGGGACGATATTAACAGACGCAAGTCTAACTTACCGAAAATTTCGTCGACAGCCAGAGCCTCAAGTACACGTGAACCACCAATAAGGTTGCCCAGAGACGCAGATAGCGTCGCAGCTAACACACCGACTACGGCCAGAGGCGGCCAGAAGGAGATGCTCTGCATATATGCATAATTCTCAACCAGGAGAGATCTAGGACAGAAGAACTTAGATCTTATTGACCACAAAACTAGCAAAACAAAACGACACTTTTGCAATTACGAATACCTTCCCACCCTACTGCGATTCAGTACACTAGGATGGTGACGTGGAGCTAGGCTCAGATGTTCGCCACACCTGAGTTTGATTTCAGGATGGTATTTTCCAGACAAAGTGCCATAGAAGTTTAAAAAAGGAGTATGAGAATCTAGTAAGACAATTCAGCTGCTGTGGAACTCCAGTTGGTGTTCACAGAATAGCCTAAAAGGATGATGGATCGAAATAAACACTGAAAGAATCAATGGATGGATCAATAGGTTTCTATTCTACCTCTCAAGTTGACCGCCCGATGCAAGATCAAGAACTAATAAATAGTCCAGCCACCTTCGGATAAAATCTTAAGATAATACTTCAACTAGACTGTATCGCTCTTAAATCAATGTTACCAGGAAAAGTAGAGATCGACAAAAGAAGTGAAAGACACGAAGTACTAGTTGAAGATTTTGCACAATTCATACAGTAGTAGTAAAGACAGTGAAGAAAAATCTGATCGACCCTTTCGGTTGGCATTCACTAAAATACCTTTCGTAAATAAAACTGCTATCAACCAATTTTTCAGAAGCAAATTTGCTACTTTTGTCAGAAACAAGTAAACTATGAAGGTAAACTCCTCTGCAAAAAACAAAATTTGTACAAAAAGTATTAACAGTTGGCTGGATGCGAAGAAAGCAGTAAAAAGAATTCCTACTAGTTGTGGTGTGAAATTGGGATGAAAAATGAGTAACTAAACTGGAACAGTCGCATAAGTATTTTATTTGAATTAAAATTTTTGAGAAACTCCATCCAAGAGAGTGAACATACCTACTGCACGTAGCTGCCGTCAAGACAGCCAAAATGAGATAGACACACAACGTGGTGCCAACTGCGGTAAGAGTTCCCCTCGGAATGGATACCGATGGCCTCCTCAGCTCACCTTAAATTCGGCAGAAGTCGCATGAAAGTTTCAACCAGTGGTAAGTTTGACGGGTCTAACTCCTTTGGAAAAGTGAATTTTAGCCAGATGCTTTCCTTTTTTTATAACTAAGAGTCAGCGTAGTACGTTGGTAGAACTTACAACACATTAACAGCAAGAATGCACCCAGTTAACATCAATATTAAAAGATTCAGTTCTCGAAAATAAAAATTTTACTAACGAAGTGAAACAAAAACGAGGCGAGTAGTAATGAATAAAGAATCTACTTAAAGCAGACCAAAAAGTTTCGCTTGAGAAACCTAAGCACATGGCGGAGTTGAAATAATGATGCCTAATACCAAAATGGCAATGGTTCATTCCTGTCACCAGGCAGATTTACGAAAAGCATAGGCAAACGGGCCTACCTGACATATTAGCGCCATTCATAATGCCCGTAACGCCCGAGAAAAGAACAGCGAAGATAATAACGAAGTTCATTTGGGTTCGGCTCTCATAATCTACCACATATTTGGCTAGAGTCCACAAAGAAATGCAATAAATATGAGACTTACGGAAAATGTTTTCCTTTAATGTGGTAGCGTTGAATCCAGTGAAGGAGACCATAACAGGAGGCTGAGTCGAATCGCTATGATTGTAGACCAGTTCATTGACTCTCGGTACAGCTACTTCGAAGGGGGATTGGAAGAAACTCGATGCAACGAAAACTATCACCGCAAAAACTAACTAAAAACGAAAAGACTATAATTTCACTCAATGCTAATGATGCAGATAAACCTCATAATTAGCCATCATTAACCATAAATAGATTAAGAAGGTCCGAGTTGCTCAAACTCGAAAAAGCCAAGTGTGAAAACTTAGTAAATTGGTTACTTAGTTTTGCACCGCAAGCAAAACTATAAAACAAGTAATGGAAAGCTGGATTAAAAAAGATCTAGTGTTTCATATTCAAAATCCATTAAACACCCATTTAGCCTTGAATTGGGAGCTAAATAAACCAATTTTATGATATATAAACATGAAGAGAACTAGGGACATACCACCAACATCAGGATACTAGTTCGCATGAACATGCGGCTCCCTATGAGGAGGATCAGGAGGCAGAAAAGGTTCACACAACTTGCGTATAGGTATTTCCACCAGAAACCGACGCCAATTAATTTTCCGCTAAGGAGAACCCCTAAATGGGAAAGCATTCACGAAAGTTGGTGTAAAGGACTGACTACTTGGAAAAGTCGAATTTAAAATAAAGCAGAAACGTGATCGCACAGTTCTTTTTCACTAACCACCAGGTCCGAAATTTGCGCAGACTGCTTCAACGAAGGCAGAGATATACAGAGCGGCACAGAAAACTTGGGAGAAATAAAACACAGATCCAACAGCACCACCAAACTCAGGACCCAAAACACGACTAAGCATGTCTAGAGTCAGTTAAGGGACCATCCTAAGCTTCAGAGCAGCGTTCAGAGAATTGTAATACAACGAAAGGATACAATAAACACCCCCACCCTCAATGGCACCATTCGTGCTGATAGCACAAACGGAGAAAATTGTCAGCAGAAGGATTAGATAGGCAAGAAAAAATTGCAGAATTGTTACGAGCAACCCAGCTTGTCCTACCAGAAACCCTAGTACGATGAAAAAAACAAACGAGCACATATTACCTAGTCGAAGAAATATAACACTGCTGAATTGAGAGAGGGTGACGAGGGCGAAGACGCCGCCAAAAGTCCCGAGAATGCGCCTAGAAATGCCTCTTGACTGCGATGTCCCCACCATGTTATAAATTGATGGGAACGCAAAAGCCCGTATTAACAGAAGTGAGAACAACAGCCAGTAATTAAAATGGCTAAAGTGAACCTAGTCAGTATCCAATCGCACTGTAGAGGCGCTTTTGGCCATGAAATAGGAAAGTTTCCCCATTATGGTTTTAAAATTACACTGTCACTATAGCTTGGTAGCTCGTCTTCGCTTATTAACTCAAATATGATCCATTAAGTATATCCTAAGGTTTATTAAACCACAGCTTTATTTCGATCCTACGAAAAGCACTTTGACTGATTAAATTTGCGCTTGGCAGAATTATTTTTTTCTTACAGAAACGTCTTAGTAAATAAGCAGTTAAACTTGACTTTCGCCGAGTGTTCCGTCTATCAAGGTCGATCTGGCTTAGTAGTGTGTGGTTGTGGGTGGTGGCGATAATGGCAAGCTTTCCGACTTGGTTTAGTTAAAGTAGGCAAATGAGAGCTATCTATAAGAAGTTACGCGAATTTAAGTCGTCAGAAACGCCTATAACTTCACTGCGCCAATCTTGTACTTGACAGTGTCAGGGTTAATTTGCCTTTCGTTTTAGCTGTTTTCCCATCTTCCGTTTGTTAATTATGGCGTTTTTGAAGGTCACAAAACCACTTGTTTAGCATCTGTATGCATATCAACGTAGCATCCCCACCCTTTTACATAATAATATGGCCAGTGCTGACATCAACTCACTATTTATAAAATAGTCTGTTGGCTGAGTAATGCTCCTTATATCTTGTATAATTCTTCCTAGGTTTGCTCAAATGACGCTTCCCGACTACATTTCTCGTTTAGCAGTTAGTTCCGTTCTCAATCAGGACACTCGGCTCTATGGCAAAACTTTTCTCTTCGACAAGAATCCAGAGACCTGCTGGCAGTCGGACTCAGGTGCGAGTCAGTGGATCCTTGTAGAGTTTAAGGAGCCTCTGAAGATTACTTCCGTCCAACTTCAATTCCAAGGTGGCTTTGCCGCCGAAGAGGGTCTTCTGCGTTTGTGGACAAAGGAGACAAAAGACAGAGCTATATCTCATCCATTCCATCCTTCTAATACGAGTAGCGTCCAGTCATTCATTTTTGCTGATACTAATCCTTGTACGAACGCTGCTATTATTTTTAAAAAAGCCACAGATCTTTTTGGACGCATAATTGTCTATCAACTTGACTTCTCCTTTGTTTGAATATTAAGATGAATCTTATTTTTCTTCTTTTAGACGAAACAAGTGCTGCAATAGTTTCCACCTATATTGGAGGAGGAACTGTACGAATGAGTGATGTAGAAAATAGTGCAAAAGGTAGTTAGGACATGAGCATCATAAGTGGAGAGTTGATGGGGACTCGGGAGAGCTGGGACGTTCTGTCAAGGATCGCGTTGCTTGGTATGCTGCTAATATGGATCCTAAAACAGAGGATTGGTTCATGATTTTAGCATCACAATCCATAAAAAAGTGAAAATAGCAGAATACATGTGAGAATGATATTCATGAGCCCTGCTGAACGAAAGTTCAGCCCCAGATACGGGGATAATGGGGGCATCGGAAGTGGATGACTAAACTTTACGAATCATTAACTTGTTTTGGCAAATCAGACACTAGTATGCTTCTTTAAGTGGAGGAGCTTACCTTCGACGACGGCTGATACACAGATCTCGTAGACCTACTATCTCGACTAATATTTTCAAAGCGTTCTCTTGTTTTGGCGACGCTCCCAAAACATTCATTCTCTGGTGCCACAGGAGTATGCGGCGCTGAAGCTTAAACCAAAAAATGGAATTTACTATCTGTAATATCCTTTCAGCTATTTGGGTACCTTGCCAATTCTAAGTATTTACGAGAGCTACAGGAAAGGTAGAGCTGATTCCAGATCTCGTTGAATGCAATAGTGTTTATCAGCTACCTTGTTCACACTTTCAAGCATTCGCAAATTTATCAGTTATTCTATAAATACACTTACTGATAACCATTCTAAAGCAGGCGCCGAAAGTGTTGCTACTATTGTCTCCCAATCATGTACCAATTTTCCAGTCTCTTCACATATACACAAACAAGGAAATCAAAGCCAAGGGCAACTCTTTTTCCTCGTCGTCGGTTCAAAAATCATCAGCTCAAAGTATTCAGTTCCAAATGGAAGCTTTGGGAAGGCTATTTGATTCTTATGCTTATGACAAGGCGCACAACATAAGAATGGAGAAGCTTTACCATTTTCGTACGTATGCTCAGACGGTTATTAAGTTATCACTTGTTTGTCCAAACTATCCTTTTTGAGAGTAATTTTGACAACTCTATTGGGTTTGGAATAGTGTTAGCCGCAGGAGAAACAAAGGAATGAAATATGCTCACAATTTGCGCGATTTTATTAATGGAGTTTATTCGAGGCAATTGCATTATTTTTCCACAGAGGCGACTTAAAATGCGCGCAAGGTGACAAAGCTGGATCGGGCCTAAAAATACCCCAAATTGCCCACCGTTTCACCCATCCAAGCCCCAATCCTACAGAGCAGCGCACTGAGCAACCTCATACTGCGTACTTCTGTGAGGTAACGGAAATGACTAAAAGGATCTAAGCACATCGCCAGGATCTAGGCGCTCGATCTACCTGACTCTTGGCAAAGAAGGTTTTGCCAAATTCGGAAACGACTGCTTCTCGTCTCATGCTAATAACTGAGGCATGATGTTGGTCGTGGAAGGAGAACGGAGGGAAGGGAAGGGTGTTTCTAACCTCAGAGTAGAGGTGATAGTGAAATTGGTACTATAAAGCCATCAAACTAGTAAACCAGTTTCGCACCACCTCTTGCATGACTTAAATTTCTTTAAGGAGAAAAGTGAAGTAAGCTTTGAGATTGGTAATTCTTCCTCACCTTCCTTTTTTCTCATGATTCAGCTATCGTGGTAGTGTCATGATTCACTAATCGTATTGGACCTACCATTATTCACCCCTTCACTCAATTCCACTAAAGTTGCATCGGAAGTGTGAGATTTAAAACGCCTTCAAGGAAGACATGGGAATAGTCGAATTAGAGTTATTAAACAGACGTGAACAAAGCACAAAATTGTGCCCTTTAAAAACTTACGCGTTGGAGGGGTCCGGATTGGTCTACGCAATGGGACCTCTCTGTTTCTAATGCTGTTTATTAGTGCAGCATTATTTAGTCCTGGAATAGCTGCTTTTGCCAGAGGAGGTCGTAAGGGAGACTTTATTGGGGACGGCTGTTCAGTGTCCTCTTCAGCTGGACTGCTATGAAGAGGAAAAACAGCTTGAATGTAGGCTATGGCGGGCATCGTAAAAGGTGGGCCATTAAGACCACATTATCCGTTTGCAAAGGGTCCATTCTTTACGTTACCACCGTTATCATTAATAGTAGAACTGGAATAGAATTCAAATGCTACTGCGGTCGCCAAGCAACTCGGTCAAGAATCTCTGGCCTGGATAAGCAACAATGAAGAAAAGCAACTGTTTACTACTACATATGAAGTTGGCTTAGCAGTAAGACTGTGAAGCGAACCTATCGAATCAATCGTTCCCATTCTACTTGAATGTGCTTCAGTTCAGTGCCGTAAGAAAAAGGAAGATGGCATAGCGAAGAGGTCACTACGAAACAAAATTGGCAGACAGACCCAAGGAAATATTCTGATGAAATTGTAATTCAGGTAGGTGTGACAGAAAAGCTCTATTCTTTGCGATTTTGAGCACTCACACCATCCTAATTTCGATCCACGGCAGAGGACTTAGACACCTAGACTAGTTGAGTTGACAAATTTTTTAAGTAGTAGCTAGCTGTGCTTGAGCATTACGGAGGTACTCACACTGTCGGTCCGCCTTCTTCCGCTTTTGAAGTTGGGTAAAGATCGCTGGTATCCAACGGTCCATGAACAACCTCGAAATCCGATGTGTGAATGACCGTTGTTACTGTGTGAGTTTTCCGACGTGAGGGCCGAACATGAAAAGCTGATGGTTGAATATCACTCGATGCCTGGTCTGAAACCAAGATGATACTCTGTGAAGCATAATCAGTGCATTTACGCGGTGCCATACATCACTGTGAGCACATAAGAAGAAAGTTAACACTTTGTTCAGCCTTTCTCACAAAAGTTGTACAGCAAAACACGTTTTCTCTTCGGTGAAATTTACATACGAGTTTGGCTGCTGCCTTCACATCAGTGTGAGGCCTATGCCTGGGTTAAGATGAAAGGGCAATCGGATCGTTGCATAGAAGGCGACGTGTGACAAGTTAGAAATACAAATTCCGGCGCCTCCTCCACTAGCTCATGCAGCTTCGACCAGCGCTCCCCACGCTCAAACAACTGTTTATGCTTTCTCCCGGGGAGAATATATTCTTTTGCTAAAATACTAACATTTGAACAGGATCAACTAAAAAAAAAGTATTGAATTCTACGCGCTTTAGGAGGAGCAAAATTTGAGGAACAAATACCGCCAGGCTATTAAAGCATTTTTTTCATTTTGAAGAAGAGTGAAATTGGAACAG